CAGATGACTATGTTGCAATTACCTTATGTTTCAGGGTTGTTTTTTTTATTTTTAAAGAGTGTCTTAATCTGGTCTTGATGGAGTTTTCCTTGAAATGGCTTTGGAGCCTTTGGTCTTCTGGTACTCGGGTATTATCTATAAATACACTTGGATATATCTATAAATATCAACCAGACAATTATAGTAGATGACGCACATGGACTGATGATCGACTACTTGTGGGTAGTTCAACCCGAGAGTTGCTCTTGCTCCCTGATTGAGATGTCCAAGATACAGGCACTTCCTGCCAACCACCTGCTCTACTTCCCTCATCCTGACACTGCTTTAATCACCTCCTTGCTCTTTGCTGTCTCTATGGCCATTCTGAACTTCCTTCAGTTGTCAGAATATGCTATATTCGTTCTTTCTGTTCCTTTTTGGCGCTGATTTTTCTCTCTGCTGGGAATATCTCCACTCATGCTTTGTTAATTTCCATTAAACTTTAGGTCTCAGGTTCTCAAAACTCAGAGCACTCCACTCTTGCTAACTGCCTCTCTGATGTGTTCCCCTCCACACTCTGTAACACAATACTGATCATACTTGTGTGTATGTGGATACCACTAGTTGCCTATACACACATATGTGCATATATACATTATAGATAACTCACTAGACTTTCTTAGCTTTGTCAAAATACTGTCTCTCTTTCTTTTACAGTTATAATTCCCAGAACTAGCATACCTAGCACATAGCAGCACTGAATAAGAATGTGTTGAGTAAAAGAATGAGCTTTAAAAAATATTCTAATTGCTCAAGTCCATGGTGAATGTTCAGACATTTTCATGAATTGAAAAAATAATAAGTTATGTATGTTGTTAAGTTTAGCTGCATTCTCACAATTTGCTTATGTTTTTCACAGACCTGGTAGTTTGGGAACCAAAACCTATAAAACCTGTTATGCACAACTCTCCAGATGAGCTGTTTAAGTAATAGAACCTACTAACAAGAGGTCATTTTTTTCCCTAACTGCTCTTTCATACTCTTTTTATAAAACTCTGAGGCTGTGGGTGTTCTGGGATTTAAAAAGTCAGCGCTGGTGACCTTTTTACAGTTAGTAAGAGTATGAACCATAGCTTGAACATAGAACAGTAACAAAAAACAAAACTAAAGCAAAATAAACAAAAAGGTATTTATTTTGGCTCAAACTTTGCCAGTAATCCTTTTATTTTTTCTCTTTTTAATTGGTCAGACGTAGGCACCACCAAAGGGCTTTATCTGTTTTAATTCTTTGTACATTTCCCTATCTTATGACTTTACAAAGCCAAACAATTTAAAAACCAGTAAAGTAAAATGCAATGAATAATATGTAATGCTTTGAAATTAATCTGAATTTATATATCATTAAAATACATTGGAAATATATGACACTATCCTAATTGAATTATTGTGATGGCTCCCAGTACCCTAGAAAATAAATATCAACATTTTTAGGTCGGTAGTCAAGGCCCTCTAAAATCTAGCCCCAATCAATCCTTTAACATTTTCTTGCACTGTTTCCCTTGGTATTGTACTATTTATTCTAATGGAAGTGACTAGCTGTTTGCTACACCAGCACACAGAAGAGGCCCAAATGTTAGCAAAATGTTAAAACCTGGCTTTGTTAACCAATGTAAAATTTGAGATGGCAGGGGAGGCATGCTTCTTTAGATCAGTTGTTTCTCAAACTTTATTGTGCATCAGAATCAGCTAGAGGGCTTGTGAAAACTCAGATTGCTGGGCCCCATCTGCAGAATTTCTGGTTCAGTTGATCTGTCTCAGGGCCCGAGAATTTGCAAGCCTAACACATTTCCCAGGTGATGCTGATGGTGGTGGTCCAAGAGCCACACTCTGAGAATCGCTAGTTTGCTTGCTAACTTCAACTAAAGCTGAATGCTGAAAGCGCAAGTTCAATGCGAATGGAGCTGCCTTTGTGTAACACAAGAATGGTCTTTCGAAAACGAAGTCAGATCATGCCACTCCTCTGCTGAAAACCCTTGCACTGGTTCATCATTTTACTCCAAGTAAAAGCTGGTGAGCTTACAGTGGCCCATCAGTACATATTCGTTTTTCTCCCCGTCCCAGTCACCTCTTTAGTCTCAACTCCTGCCACCCCCAACTCCCATTCTGATGCAGCCATGCTGACCCCCATGTTATTTTCTCTGCAGGCACCTTCCTGTCTTAAGACATTCACTGTAGGTATTCCCTCTCCTTGGAACGTTCTTTCCCCAGTTAACTATTTGGTGAACTTCTCCACTGTCTTCAAATCTTTTCTGAAATCTTGCCTTCCCAGTGCCGGGGCCTCCCCTCATCATCCTACCCCACACTATACCCTCCGACTCCTCTTCCCACCCCAAGCCCTTGGCTCCCTGGATCCCTCTTATTTTTCTTCTTCTTTGATGATACTAGCTCTTATGAAATTCTCACACACTATATATTTCACTTATTACTTATATTTCTTGTCTGTCTCCTTGAGGGAGCTTATACTCTGCTAGAGTCTTGTTCTCTGATGCATCTTAAGCACCTGGCACACAGTAGGTACTCATCAAACAGTAACTGGGTGAATAAATACATGAACACATTAGGTATACTGTACAGCATACTGTTTCAAGGAAATGCTATATAACATTATCTTTTTGAAAGTGTTACCTGTTGCCCTACAATATAGTTAACTTATCCAAGTTAATGACAAATTATTTTCTTTCCTCTTTTATCCACTTAGTAGTTTGTGCATTCTCATTTTTAGTGAGACTGTACAAACTACTAAGTGGTCTGAGGCTATGGGATATACATATACATATACCTGTTCGTTTAAACAAATCCTGTACAAAATGGCGTCAGGAATGAATATGTTCTAGGTTGAAGCAATATTATAAGCAGACCATTTTGTTAGCACATGGAGACTAGGATCCTACATTTTAGGCCCTACGAGCTGCAGGTTTTAAAGAAGTAATTATCTTTAACATAAGGTATTTTTGATCAATAAGGAGTAGAAACCCTATTGTATTATTTTCCACCTTCTGGCTTATAGGACATGACAGTTATTACAATACTAATTTTCATTGTTATTTATTTTTATTTTAAAATATAATATAATAAATAGAGACAGGGTCTTCTCCTGTTGCCCAGCTGTCTCAAACTCCTCGGCTCAAGTGATCCTTCCACCTCATCCTCCCAAAGTGTTCCAAAGTGCTGGGATTACCGATGTGGCCACCCCATCCAGCCTAGTTTTTATTTCTTGAGGGCTTACACTATGACAGACAATGTGCTAACCCTTTTATCTTATATATACACCACTTTTTCTTATATAGTTCTCATTACACTACAGGCAGGAATTTTACATATGAAGAAACTAAAGTCCAAAGAGCTTCAATAGCCAGCATAAGGTCACACAACCAGCAATTGGCAGTGAAAGCACTGAATCTTTATCTGTTTGAAACCTCCTAAATATTACAAAGAAAGTCTGAGTACAAACAAGGAGCAGGAGTAAAACAGAATGCTAGGAGAAATATTATGACACAAATCCAAATTTGGGGCTTGCTGTGGAAAGGGAGCAGTACTATATTTTATCTGCCATTATTTAAGAGAAAAAGCTTGTAACAAGCAAGCCCATTCAAATTCCACACTGATATCTTCTCCCTGATGTTCAAAAACATTTTTAAAGAGCAATATAGTTTTTCCTTTAAAAAACTCGCAAATAACCCCAAGGTTTCAAATGCTCATTTCCCATTGTATTGCTCTCTTCCTGTCACTGCTTTTGAGATAGAACATGGAGTCCTTGGTAGGGAAAGGAAGGGCATGATCATTAATCTTCATTTATAGTCTTGAGTGGCTTCTGTGATATGATGATTTCTGAGCTGATAGAAGGGTAAATACTAATGTGGTTAGAAGAGCTATTCATCCACATTTGACATTCACTTAAGGCTTGCACGCACCCTTCATATTCACATTTCAGATAATGTCCTATGAATTGGGTAGATCTTTTCAAATTCTATTCTTTTTTCAAATAAACCGCTTTTTCTTTCCTTTCATTTCCTTTTCCCTCTCTCTCTCCCCATCCCCTCCAACCACCACCCCCCACCCCCGCCTTTTTGTTAAGAAAGGTCTGGCTCTGTGGCCGAGGCCGGAGTGCAGCGTCACCATCTCAACTCACTGCAACCTCCACCTCCTGGGCTCAAGCCATCCTCTCACCTCAGCCTCCCGAGTAGCTGGAACTACAGGCGTGTACCACCATACCTGGCTAATTTTTGTAGTTTTTGTAGAGGCAGGGTTTTGCCTTGTTGCCCAGGCTGGTCTCAAACTTGTAAGCTCAAGCGATCCATTTACCTTAGCCTCCCAAAGTGCAGGGATTACAGGAATGAGGCACCATGCGGCCTCCAAATAAACCTCTTCTTGGAGTTATGTCAACAAAAAAGCAGAACCCATTCTACAAGATTTTAGTATTTTGGGGAGAGTATAAAATTATTATGATGTCATAAATTAGTTATGATAGAGAATACACTAGAGCAGCGTCCATCAAAATACACTCATAATAAAACCAAAACTTGTCTTTTATCATGGTTAAGTTCATTGTTAAGGTAAAAGAATAACCCAAGTACAGTAACCACCCTTTGTTTCACCAGCTTGAGTCCACTTATTGTCTACCTTCTACTCACAAGTAAAGTCTTAAGATCTTAAATAGCTCTCCCTCTTCATCACTTCTTTTTCTATTTTATTAATCATCTTATTTTCCAAAATGTGGTGATACAGGAAATAATTTTACTTTATGGAGAGAAAGGAAATTATTTTTACGAGTATTATACTGTTTTCACCCAACAGGTTGAAAATTCTTGCCTCTTATCAATGAAGAAATTAGCTGATATCTGTGAGTGTATTATCCGAGAATCTCAGTGACCTCCCTCCCCTGAGTTAGTGGAGTGAAAGATGAAGAGACTCATCAGTTTTGTACAAATCAGCCTATTTTCTGGAAACCACAGGTTACTTACATTTGCAAGCGTCTGGAGCTGAGAAGGGTCTCCGCAGGTCACGATAAAAGCCTGGCTTGCACCTCTGGCAATGCTGTCCTTCCGTGTTGTGCTGACAGTCATCACAGACGCCACCACTGCGATTCCCTGATGCCTGCCACACATGAACGTCGAAGTGACAGGTATCAGCATGCCCATTACACTTGCAGCCTGGAAATAAGAAGCGTGGAGAGAAACACTAATAAGTAAAACTAGAGTGATGGGTTATCTCATATTCAGGTAGTTAAAAATAGGATAAGCTGGCTGGGTGAGGTGGCTCACGCCTGTAATCCTAGCACTTTGGGAGGCCGAGGTGGGTGGGATAACTTGAGGCCAGGAGTTTGAGACAAGCCTGGCCAACAGGGTGAAACCCTGTCTCTACTAAATATAAAAAAGTTAGCTGGGTGTGGTTGCACATGCCTGTAGTCCCAGCTACTTGGAAGCCTAAGGCAGGAGAATCACTTGAACCTGGGAGACAGAAGTTGCAGTGAGCCGAGATCATGCCATTGCACTCCAGCCTGGGTGACACAGGGAAAGTTGTCTCAAAATAAATAAATATAAAAATAGGATCAACTGATTGTTAATGTTTAGTTTTAGTTTTTGAGTAGTTAACGGTATAAAAATCAAAGCAATATAGAAAGGTATCCATTATGAAATTTAGCCTCTCCATCCCCATTTGCCTTTCTTTAATAGGTTACTACTTTTTTTTCATTATAGATCTTAATTTTAAAAAACAAGTTTCAGGAGATGCATGAAAATCAACAAAGTGTAGCTTTGTCTAGTTGGCAGAGACATTATGATGAACTTGCCAACAGGGGAAGACATTTATTGTGGAAAGATGACAGAAGTGACTACCAGTTTTTTACCCTCTTTTTTGGTAACACTTCACCATTCCCATTCCTGTTACTTCTCAAGGGTCGTTCCTGTGGGTCTCCTGACTTTGCTAAGAAAAGCTGAGATTGTCAGGCCTCATGTAGAAATGACTATTCATATTGCAGAGGCAGGCATGAATTCACGCTTACTGATGAGCCTGGAAGGAAGCTGCTGGTGGACAGCGCTTGGTAACTTGGCAATTAGATTGATTTATCTTTCATGAAGTAATATTCTTCAGCGGTTGAACTGGTGAATATAAGGTGGATTCCTATTGAAGCCTCAATTTTCTTTATACTACAGAAGAGGCCTGCAGTATTTATTATATAGTAATTCCTCAAAGGCATTTCTAAGATTATAAGTCAGTAGCATCAAGTGACATGTCTCTGTGTTCTATATATATTTAGATAGGCAGTTGATTTCTATGGAAAGAGCCAGAAAGGCACCCTAGGAATTCAGGAGAAATTCTTTAGATTCTCTTGATGAATAATTTGGAATAAGAATCCAGATTTTTGTGGAGGTCAAGTGTATTTGAAAATGTTTGTGCTGTTGTTTTTCATTGTTTCCTTGATGTGTTATGAAATTCTGACCAGATTCATATCCTTTAAAAGTTTGTTATGAGATAATTTGAGATTTATTCTTACAGGAAATCCTTTACATTTCCTAGAAACAAAAACAAATCAATTATGACTCCAGATTACATATGGGAAGAGACTTCTCACAATTTTACCCACAGTACCTGCTTTTACATCCTTGTAAAATAGAGGTTTGTGAGCGTTAACATTCTTATGGGCATGTGCATTTCTGTGAACATTTTAAATTGCAAAGAAAAAATGGCTCAGGTTCCCTATTTTTACCTTCCTAGTTAATCTCCAACCTCAAACCTCAAGTTAGTCCTGGTAGGGAAATCTCATGCTTGACTTACCGGCTTAATTTCAAATCTAATCTTTCATTTCAAGCATCGTAAAGTGAAAAGAAAGACATTATGGTATTATGGGAAAAAGTACCTAATCTGGAGTCTTGAGACTTGGGATCAAGTCCCACTATCATATACTAACTGGTAAATCACTTAATCTTACTGAGCCTCAATTTCCTGATCTCTATAATGGGATTAACACTACCTGTTTTATTGGGTAATTTTGAGAACTGAATTCAAGACAGCTATTTTCATGTTTATAATTCACCATCTTAGTAATAAGAGTAATTGTAGAAGAGAGTCAGATGCTCTTGTTGTCTGCTCATGCTTTTATTTTTATTCATTCATTCATTCATTCACTTTGAGACAGAGTCTTCCTCTGTTGCCCAGGCTGGAGTACAGTGGCATGATCTCAGCTCACTGCAACCTCTACCTTCCGGTTTCAAGTGATTCTCAAGCCTCAACCTCCCAAGTGCCTAGGATTACAGGTGCACACTACCATGCCTGGCTTTTTTTTTTTTTTTTTTTGTGATGGGATTTCACCATGTTGGCCTCGGCCTCCCAAAGTGCTGGGATTACGGGTGTGAGCCACCCTCCTGTTTTTATTATGTCCAATTATAAAAGGGTCCTTAGCTCCCACAAAGTGTCCAACAAATAGGCAACATATTCTTGGCAAAACATTCACATCGGCAACGTAACAAACAGTAACCATTTTCAGTGGCTGAAGCCATAGTGGGCAGTGATATGACTATGCTTGTGCAGGTTCTAGTGTTTGTCACCCACCACTTTGTGTTGTGTTTGTAGAGACAACCAGCAGTCCACAGATAAGCTGACTTTACAAAGAAGACTTCTGAGTACTGTGGACTTGTTACTTACTTCTGCACTCGTTGGGAGCCCCCGTTTTGCCATCAGCTGCCTCCCACGGCCGGTCGTTGAATAACGGGGCACAGTGCTGGCAGTGGCTGCCTGCTGTGTTGTGCTTACACATACACTTCCCATGGACCTACAAACAACATCAAGTGAGAGCTTTGAGCACAAACGATGCCAAGGAAGAATATTCTTCGCACGATCTTTTGAAAAATTCAAAAGATTAAGTAATGTAGTTTCTTGGCTGAAGGGTATATGACCCTATGGAGCAATTCTAAGCTACTGGCTGAGCCAACACTTGAATTCAAATGTACTGGCTAAGTTTTTAATATCTTTAAATATTTAAATTCTTTATGCAAAAGTAATACACCTTCATTCTAGAAAGTTTAGAAATCCATAATCTCATTGCAAAATGACAATAATATCAACATTTGGAGCATATATTTCCAGTACTTTAAAATATACAATTATTTTTACAACCTTTTTCACATATCATATGGCAAATATCTTTCCATTTTGTTAAATATTCTCATATAATACACACTTTAATGGCACCCCTGTATGATGTAAGCTTAATTTATCTGACCACCTATTTAATTGTTATTTAGGATTTTAAATATTTGTATATGTTATATTTGATGCTATAATGAATATCATTGTAGCTAAATATTTGCGTACATCTTTATTTCTTTTGAAGGTGTTTTCTAGAAGAAATATTGAAAGGTGAAAATGTGGATATTGTTGGGGCTTTGAATACATTTTGTCCTAATGACTGGGCATTTTTTTTTTTGGTCCCCATAGTTTAGCGTAGTTTAGGGTTTACTAAAATAGCATTTCTCACAGAGAGAAATACTTCTGTAGAATTCTTAGAAATATGCGAATTTCAACATTTTTTGTATTATTTCACTAACTTCTAAAAATTAATATTTTGGATCATCCAAACTATCTCCTAATAACTAAGACTTGCAATGAATTCCAATACCAAGATGCATTCCAGTACCAAGATTATTTATTTACATGATGTCATGAATATACAAAGGAAAGCTTTGCAAAGTAGCTTAGAATGGGGTCCACAAATGTGGATCTATGAGGCTGCATATTTTTCCTTGAGAAACAGTGTCAAAGGTAACATAAAGGTAACAAACTATATCAACTAGTTAACAAATATTTAATGGGTACCTACAAGGGAAAGTCACTATGCTAGGTCATGTTTGGTACACAAAGCATTAAAAAGTTTTCTGTCTGTAAGAAAGATAAAATGTATAATAGCTGGAGAAAAAAAAAGGGTTACATAGAAGAAAATAACAGATTAACAAGACAATAAATAAATGCCTAAGCAGCAAAATAATGCTGGGATTCAAAAGATGCAGAAATCACCATAGGTTGACAGCTTTGGAGGGCTTGATGAGAAAGGTGGAGATTGGAGCTGACCCTTGACACATGGGTGGCATTTCTAACAGGCAGAAGGGAAGAAACTTTTCAGGAAAAGGAAACAAAATGAATCAAGGTGTAAGGAGAATCTGTGAGCAAAGTTTATTTCAATGCATCTAAAATGGTTTGATTGTGACAAAAAGTAAATTACTAAAAATGATGTACTCAGAGGGGCCAAACCAAAATGAGTCCCCAAGGTAAAGTTTAACAAACCTGAAAACGGCCACACCAATACACTGATGTACTACTGCTTGACCTAAGATAACACTCAAGTAACTTGTGTCATCTTATCCAGGACCTTCTTTTAATACTTTCCTAGCACTGGTGGAGGCACTCTGCAAATGGCCCGTGCAATGATCCAAGTGTGCTACATGACTGCTGTCGGCCTTATGCTCACATAACGACCAAGTTCAGGAATTATACACAGGGCTTAGAGGACTGCAGGCTGCTTGAGAATGAACCACGTGATGCCTAAGAGTTAGCTGGAAAATTTCATAAGCAATATGTTGGCGGCCATCTTGCTAAATTTCATTTCAGTGTATTTTCATGTAAAGTTCTCATGCTTCATGAAAATTATAGTTCTTTTAATTCTCAGGGATTAGTGAGTATATAGATTTAAAAAAAATAGAGCAAGTTGGCTCCTTGAAAAAAGATGATGTTGCAAAAATTTTTGTTAATTTTCTTTATGGAAATGCAACTGATACTATAGATTCAATTCACTGGTTTTGGTCTTGGGATGTCCAAGTATGAATTCAGTTATAATAATATAACTTCTTGGGCATCTCTTCATAGTTCTCTGATATGAAACGCGTTCATATATTGAAATTCCATGGAGTTATGAGTTCACTACAAATCTCCATTCACACATCCACGCAAGCTCTAAAGACAAACCTGCACTTAAATTTTGAGAGCTGCAGGCATTCAACTTCTGCTGCTCTCTAAGAATGAGACTTTTTTCATCCTAGCTCCTGGATATCTGATTTTTCTTATCCATTTTTTATTATAAAGTATATGAAGTAAAGGTGCCTCAGTCACATTACTTTTTTTTGAACCTTTTTAAATTCAGTGTTCTCTCTCATCATGAAAAAATATAAACTCTTGCCAATCAAATAACTTCTATGTGGCAAATTTCTTTAAAGTTTCTCAGGAAAAGCTTATGATTCTTTGTTTTACTTGTAGTACTAAACACTGATTTCAAAGAAAAGGGGGCCTTTGAAAAAAATGACTGTAGAAAAAAAAATCTTCCAAGGCTGAAGAATTTTAGTAAGATGAAGGCATCCTTATGTAACTGACAGAAGTAGTGCAATGGAGGCTAGTAGAAAAAATGTTTTGCAATTGTCTAATCCTACAGATCAAAAAAACAAGCAAAACTTACCTTCAAAACACATAAATAATCTGCCAGAATTAGAGTCAGAGTTCCTGCTGTTAAGGGAATTATAAGGAGTTCTGTCTAGGGAGAGCATTAGGGAAAATGTTAAGGGGTGTAAAGTAAATATGATGGAAAACAAGGTCAATTTGTGCTTTCTGTATAAAACTTCTAAGTGTGGTCCCTGAGTCTGTGTCCTGAAGGGTACATGGGATTTTCCTTAGGAAGCAAAGACAAGAATATAAGAACCCTAAAGAAATAGTTAGGGACAGTCAATAAATAAACCAGAAGTATGTGTTTGAGAGGTAGGTTCAATCCAGATCATGGAATACACTAAACATTAGCTTTAAAGAGGCTGAAATTTATCCCATAGGCAATGCAGATCCATTGAAGAGTTTTGAGTAAGACAATGATGTGAAAGGCATATTAAACACACTTTCTTTTCTCTTAAAAAATTCTTTCTACCTCTCTCCTATCTTGCCTGTTATATTCTTTCTTCCCTTTCTCCTTTTATGGTTTCTTCTTTGGCTTTTCCCCCAGCTCATGCCTTCCAATAACCAGTGGCACCCACATGTATTTTCTGAAAATATTCAGACGTTGAAAAAGTTAATTCTTTTTTCCTAATTTTCCAGTTATATCAGCACGTTAATTCTTAGGTACTGTATTTTTGCATCCTCTCCATTTTAAAATTTTACTTATTTTTAATTTTTTTTTTAGAGACAGGGTCTTGCGTTGCTGTCCAGGCTGGAGTGTAATGGTGTGATCACAGGTCACTGACACCTTGAATTCCTGGGCTGAAGTGGTCCTCCCAGCTGAGTATCCTGAGTAGCTGGGACAACAGGCATATGTCACCATGCCCAGCTAATTTTTGTAGTTTTTGTAAAGACAGGGTTTTGCTACATTGCCCAGGCTAGTCTCCAACTCCTAAGCTCAAGTGATCCTCCCACCTCAGTCTCCCAAAGGCTTGAGATTACAGGCATGAGACTCTACACCTGGCCCTTTTCCACTTTTTAACAACCATGTATTGAATACTGTATATAGATGCTGCAAAGTACTGTGAGTCCTCTTCAAAGGAGCTCAACCATCATCCTAGGTTCAATTTATCAGGTTTGGTCTTGGAAGTCCTAAGGCCTATACATAATATCACCCAACACATAGGTTCATTCTGTTACAAATCCCAGGCCTCAGGAGGCCACAGACATTTAGAGTTACCTCATCGAACATTCACATGTATTACAAGACAATGTTGGACAGGTCAATTCCCTCTGCAGTGAGGATTTCAGAGCATTCCCTTGTTCCCACATGCCAAGGATTGGGACGAACCTCCCAGGGTCTGAAAGATGCTAGCCCAGCAAATTTTTCTGCATACAGAAAAATTCAAGGAGCTGTCATTTTGAGAATTACCAAAAATAGCTGTGAATCATTACCTAGACAATTTGAAACAAGAAATCCTTCCTCAGCGATACAACTGTTGCCGTTCAAGCTTGAAAGATCACCCACTATTTGATGCTCGTGAAAAATGTGCAAGTAAAACTAGGTCTTCATTGAAAAAAAACAAAACAGAAAAAGGAAACTTTAGTAATACGTTAAACATAGCTCTTGTTCGGTATAAGAACATGAAGTAGATAAGGAGCAGGAAAATGGGATTATGTATTTAAGGTTTAGTTGAAGAAAAGTATCTACTATCTAATTAAAAATTGAGTAATTTACCTTAACAGCAAAACTACAACTCCTAATGACCCAAGAGGTAAATAGAATTTTGGATATTCTATGACTTCCGTAAACTTCTCTGTTATGCTAAGAATACTCTTCTCTGTCAATGTCAAAAGTAGCCAGCAATCATGTGGTTGGGTTTGAAACTGACCAGGCAGGAGGCTGTGGGAAGCTGGTCACTGACAGCATCAAGCATCTGGGATGGACATTTATCAAGACTGTTGTAGAACATTTAAACACTGGATAGAAGATTGGCTTAAACAACTTTTAGATTCCTTCTAGTCTTAAGGTTCTATGATTTCAAGGCCTGTTTCTCTGTATTGTGAATACTATTTGGTTGCAGGCAACTACTCATAATCCTTTTTGAGCTCCCAGAGAAAATTGAAATGACATATAGCTGGGTCCTGTTGCCATTTCACCAATGCAGAACGTTTCTGGAATCATCTGAAAATCAAATGAGGAAAAGCTAGGAGAATATTTCCTCTTTCCTGCAGGCACTGCCCAATGTGACACAAATGGAAAAGTAAATAAACATTAACAGTCTCTGAAGAACTTTTATTCATCTGTATCGACTATACTTTGATGAAAATAAATACTATTATTTTTTCTCTCCTTCAGATTTCTTC